GATGCGCTTTTACAATTCAGAAATGTGGAATTTTTCATTACTACAATATCACATTATCAATAATGATTTTGTTTCTAGTCAGTTATTTTCCTGAAACACGGACACATACAGAAATTTCTTCTTGCCTGTAAATCTTAATTAAAGCCTAAGTTGATTTAGAGGTTTGTTAGATGCTGTTCCTTTTATTTAAATAACTTTAACATCGCTGTAAAACTTATTAAAATGTAGGCTTGTAAAGTGATGTCGTTCAGCTGCGTGACGAGCTCTGAATTAAACCCACAAGGAACCTTATCTTGGGAGAGATTTTTCCTCGTTAAGGAAATCCGAAAACAAAATACACTACGCTTTGTATTCATTATAATACACCGCTGATGAACAGTTAAACCTTGCGAATACATATGTGGGCCATAATAGCATTAAATACAAATTAATAATATATAAGAAATACTGTAATAAATATGAAAGGGCAGTAACATTATACTAGGTAGGATTTGAGGTTCTCGCGGTGAAGAGCATGAAGATGTCTGTCTTCTGGGTTGTAGCGCCTTGTAATGTGGTAGGATTTTTCGGACGCTTCAGGTTATCGCCCTGATCATGGAGGCGGCAAGGACTTCTGAAACGATGGTAAACTTCTACCAGACTATACGGCGCTCCAACCCCCAAGACAGTCATCTTTAACATATACCAGTTTAAAAGATAAAAATAATCTGATTTTTCAGTCTGTTTTTGTAAGGGATTAGCCAACTACTAAAAGAAATGTAATAAAAGAAAGGGGGTCTGGAAACGAAACAAGTTACGAAATGTAAACACCGCGTAATATTTGTGGTGCGTTCGCCAAAAATCTGAACTTTAACATTTAATCAAGGTAACCATAGTAACCGTGGTAACCAAGGTAGCCTGGAGATTAAGCGCCCAACGTTTTGTGAGATTTGTCTTTAAAGAAATTATAGTTTAATGCATGTTTTGTGTAAAGTAGGAGTTAAATTCAACAGATAAGAGCCAGACTTAAATTCACTACATAACTTTTAGTGTAGGTCGGAGATAATGGTAGTCCATTCAGTAGCTGCAGAGATGAAACATGCGGACGGACATGGCTCACCGGTGTGCTTTCACATCTTGCACCATGTCCAGCTAACACAACGTATTTTTCAACTCCGCACACCTTAACGCAGGAAAGAAATAGCTTCTCATCATAGTATAAAACAACTGAATTATATATAAATCAAACTCCATTATTGTTGTGCCACCATTACGTCGTTTCCAGTTTCTTTCAGCGGCTTACAGATTAACAGCACCTCCAATCTTGAATATTTTAGCCGAACAGCATGGAGGGTACTTTTTTTGTTCTTACCAAACTGAGCGGATTGCCCAAGATTTGTGAACAGTTACTTATTTTATTAAGTCTTGTTTCAAACATGAATTTAACATTCTCCATTCGAACTTATTCCTTACAATGTTTTCACACTCGGTAATACACCAGAACATTGTGGCATACGTAACGAATAGAACCTGTTACAATCAGTTATTTTGAAATGTCACATTTTGTCATTCACTTTCTGTTCACAAATATGTCCTAAATATGTTTTTCTCTAAATTTTTAACAATTAGAAAACACAGGCTACCGCAACTTTTAATCGTGGATACATGGGCCGGAAGAAATGACTCACACAAATTCAACGGAAAAGAGTCCTCTTTGAGTCTAATAGTTGCTCAGATGGTTAGAAGAATTTCCGCCATTTATGGAACCAGAAGGTTCATTGCCGTGTTCACAAGAGCCCATCGCTGAATTCTTTCATGGAACAGTTTAATTGAACCCACACGCTGACATACGTTTTGTTGAAGATCATCTTTATTATTATTCTGCCATCTATGCCTCTGTCTATAAAATTACTTTTTCCTCTCAAATTTTCAGATTAAAATTTTGTATGTATCTTTAACCTTTTAAATGCGTGCTATATACCTACCACCATCATTTTCATTCTTTGTTTTCCCTGGAATATTTTAAGAAGAGTGAAGATTATTAAATTCTTCGTTATGTAATGTGTTCCTCCTTGTCATTACGTCCTCTCCCTTTGGTCCAGTTATTCTCCTCTCTGCTTTCTTAATCTGTATTCTTCCTTTAAGGTGACTGCATCACACTTCTTTTAATTTATTCGACATTCCTTTGTAAACTGGTACTGTAATTGAACATTCCCCTCGAAAGTGGTCTGCTTCTAAAATATTCATGTGAGAACGATTCGTCTGTGATAAAAGTTTTAAACAAGAAACGAAGAAATACAAGTCACGACACGTGTATTGATCCATCAAATTACAAAGGAAATACGTGACGTTTTTAGATAAAGGTTGAGTTAATTCCGATACCCGCTAAGGTAACTCCATAACGGAAGTAACGGACTAGTAAGCTAATACTCGTTCAGCTAGTCGGTAAGTCCTCCACCATTTCATCTGATGCCAATTTCAGTTTTGAGGTGAACTGAAATTGTTTCTACGATTTGACTTCGCCGCTGTGGAGAGACAGGTCAGAAGCCACTAGCGGCATGAAAATGGTATCGCCTGACTCATGCGGCAACTTCTCCTACTCGTGTGTACGGCGGTGGAGTATAACAGAACGGTACAGGCGTTTGATATGGAGAAAGTCCGTTCTGTGTTCCATTGGTAAACGTTATTCTAATATTACGTGTTCTTTTCGTAACTTGAGGTGACATAACAAACCCGTCCACTGATGAAGTTACGTGTATGTCTTCAGTTTGGGTCAGAACAGTTATTATACATTTTTAATTGTTTGGGGGGAGGGCAGGGGGGGAGGAGGCCGTAACCAATCTGAACATCTTGCCCTGCTGTTATATGAAGTTTTGCTAACCGCAATGTGTGAGTGTAGGGAGAATTTTAACATCGTTCTTCACTAGTTTGAAGCGATTTTTAATCACGGATGGTCTTGCTGATATTTTGAACTACAGAATCTGGGAGGGTTCTATTATTCATAACTACCGTCTTCACATTTATTTTGAGAAACTGAATTGTGAATGAAATTGTAAAATTGTCTGCATATAATGTACAGATGCGGATTAAGCTGAACTCTGGGTTTGTGGCACGAGTTAAATTCACTGTATTCATTTCCAAATTATCGTACATTTTTCTACTTAAAGCACATTGGAGAGCGAACGACAGAAGTCACAGATAAACTCACACCTTCTGGACAAAACACTTCTCTAGTAGACGTGTAATTACATTGTATAGATGCATACTTCGTACTGTTTAACATATCCCCTATAAAATAGGAGGATTTTGTGAAGTATATTTAGATTTCTCCAGTTTTATGCATCTACATTGTTTGATTGCGTGGTGCTGAGGGTAACATTCGGGCCATAGAGAGAATTAACAAGATGTCAGGGAAAGTTACGTAATGAGGCGCTCTATAATTTGAAGTCTTCGTTAAATATTAGAATGAATAGGATTGGAGGATAAAGACATAGCGCGGGAAGTGAGAAGTGGAAATTGAATTGTAATAGGAAAATATGAAGAAAAAATCGTCTTTAGGAAGGATAGGCCTAGATGTGATGATGATATTAAGAAGGGTGTAGATCGGATGTCTGTTCTATCTGTCTCAGGATACGGTCGTTTGATGGCATGTTCTGAGCATGAAAAGCCTCGGACTTTCTTCAACAGCCGAGCAATTGTTAGCTTCTCAAGAAGGACCTTGCTCCGTGCAGTTAGATATCTTCAATTTTTAGTATGATACATTGACATAAAGTAAATGTGAATCTAACGATGATTTTCGTTTTCTCATGATCCACATAAGTTTTATTAATTAAATGTTGTGTGAGTACAAAGTGCATAAAACCGGACCAGAAAACTTCTAAAACAAATAATAATTAATAGTTGTCTTTGTTTGTGGGCATTGCACCACACTTATTCTTGAAGCCTCGGTGTGATTTTTTACGTATATTTAACGAACCTTTGTGTCTGCGTTTCCTCCCTACTTAGTTTATTTGGAACGTTTCAAAATTGAATAAAAACTGACGTCATTCCAGAGCCTTCTAGAACACTAGTTAGCAACCCTTGTAATTCGCATAAGTGTCCCCTTCATTTTCCAACTGCAGCATGCCTCCTTATTAGTTCCATTGTGTGTCGTCGGCAACAGTGCCACTTACCTTTTACCTCCCCCCCCCCCCCCCCCGCCTTCTTTTCCTGTTGTCCCCTTACTCCTCGCAGCCATTATAATAACGATAATGTGTGCCATCTCGAGTGACAGTCGGTTATTAATCACCTAGACTACGACAGACCGCTCTGCGTATAATACCATGACAATGAAACTATGACATCTCGCAACAGAACACTTGTGAGTGATTACTAAGACAGAAACAAAACTACTGTAGTTGGTGGAACAGCGTCCTGAATCCTCCTTGTTCGTCTGGACGTTATTCGCTCGTGTCGCCGTGAGCCCCAAGAGGGACATTACTATGGGAATCTTAATTCAAGTTTGTTAATGGCGACTTCTGCCTTTATCAAGAAGAAATGACACTATTCAACACAGTTATTCTTTACAGTCGCTCATCCCTCCCTGTTTCGGATACAGAAGATCCATTATCGTGTCTACGATAATCCATCAGTAGACCCAGTACTGAGCCGGTTTAATGTAGCTCGCGCCCTCACACCCTACTACTTAAAAATTAATTTTATTCTCTCATTTACGTCTAGGTCTCCAGAATGGTCTTTTACCCTTCAGGCTTTCTTTCTAAAGTTTTGTACTTTTGAGAACCCATAAAATATGGGAAATTTCTTGGCCAGCTGAACGACTATCAGCTTATCAAGATGTAAGAGTTTCTCAGTTATGACCTACGAACATTTAAGATCAAATTTAAACTGGACATGTTCTCAGATATTACACATAAGCCTACCCTTTATTCTCAGATTAAAATAATTATTGGTTTTATGAGCACATATATGTGTGTGTGTGTAATTTATGCAGTTCCTCTGATGTTCCTTCATTTTGTTTGCAGGTTGTGCGTTTGTCAAATTCAGTTCACACCAAGAAGCCCAGGCAGCTATCAGCAGTCTACACGGGAGCCAAACTATGCCGGTAAGCTGGATTACGTAACTTCGCCATAAAATCTATCTAGCTGCTTTATAGGTGGCGCCGTCTGTTAGCAATCAAAGTAAATGACATCACATTAGTTTACAAAAAAAGAAAAGAATGTAAGCAATTTTCCATTATCCTTCGTAAGCACAAAATGGAAGCCCTCTTTTATTTTATTTTACTTTCTTTCGTGCTGCAATAAATTCGCCCTTCAATTAAAGAGAAAAAATGAAAAAGTTCTGGATTTCAGTTTTGTAATAAAATACACCTGTTTGCCCGTCTGTTTTAGAACAGTTTGAAATGTAGTTGTGCCTGCCCGTCGACAGATGGCGTGGCTTTATCAGTTGCAATGACTTGAACATGAGAGCCATCTCCAATGAAACATCCATGACATTCACAGTTGGCTGATACATAACAACTGCCAAGAATGATTGTGGTGTGGCAGGTTTCAGATTTTCAGTTTGCTATGAAGGACGAGAGTATAAAAGCAGATGACAAATCGGCATGTTGTAAAGAAAGAGCCCGCTTTTACGTTGGTTTTCCCCCCTTAAACTGCACGGCTGGCAGGAATGTTACATCACACGTCTTTATTATTTACCGCTGTGTTGTTACGTAGTGATCGCTTTGTGCATTAACCAATTGCCAAACAGGGAAATAACTGTGGACATAGATGGATTTATGGGTCACAAGACTAGTTATAGTCATACTGCAACCAGAATAGGAACGGAGTAACGAAAATAATTGGATGGACGAAAGGACTCTATATGTAAACTTACAACCATCACTCTCTGTAAATAAACAGTGAGCATGTTGTGGTTTTTTCTTCTTCGTTATTTTAACGTCGCTG